CACTCAGGCTGCAACTTCGAGAGACCTTGAGGTATCCATCCAAGCTGCTCTCAATTCCTGACTCACAGAAATTGTGAAATAATAAATGTTCTTTATTTTAAGGTGCTAAATATGGAATTTGTTATGCAGCGATAGATAATGAAGATAGCATCCAAGTGTGAGAGGCCCAGTCCTCGATTACTTTAATGGCCCCCATCAACTCCACTGCTTTTCATGAGGTCTGGGGAGTAGACTCTAAGAGATTCACTATTGGAAACTCTCAAAAGAACTCCTGTCCTCCAGAATTCAGAGATGCTCTCTACTTTGGTGACAAATACCCAGGCATGCTCTGGCCATGTAGAGATGACCATGAAAATGTCCGTGTAGCTCAAAGTCAACATGACACTTCCAGCTATAGTACATTGATGGGAAATGAACCAAGTACTGAACCACACATGCAAGGTGAGAGATTCCTTACGTGCCCAGTCATATTCTCCTATCAACTACATCCACCCTTAGAAACTGTCCAGACCTAGTGAGCCAAACTATGGCCACGGGTGCACCCTGGACTTACGTCATAAGGCTTCATGGCTCACTGAGAAGTTCCGAGATCAGATCCCCTCCTCCTGGAAAACTTCCCCAATGTTCTCAATTCTTTCCACTCTCCCAACCTTTCATCTAAGCCCCATGAGATTTGACGCTGCAAATTACTTACCTTGATTTCCCAAGCATATATATCTGGTGCTTAAAGAATGTGTGTTGTAAACAATACCTTTCTAAGGTACATTTCATTCTCATGTGTATGTCATTCTCTTCAACTAGACTATAAGTTTCTCAAGGTCATGGACTGTGCCAAATTCACTGTGGTGTCCTAAAGATCCCAAAGTTCACTGACTTCCAGACAAACACTGGGATCAAGGCAGAGAATAAGCACACTCCCTGTGAACTGGAGGCAGACACTTAGCATCAATCTACAAAGGATTCATGAGGTTCTCCATCCATTCACATCAGACCCCTGCCCCCCTACTACACAGTAACCCACTAAAGAGAAACCTGAGCATTTATGACCTCCTAGAGCCCTCTCCAAGGTAGAGGGACCTCCACTGTACTCAGGTCAGGAAATAGAAGACTGTGTAATTAGGAGATAGGAAGCAAGAGAAGGGGTGGAGGGCAGAGAGAGCTCTTCCTTTTACTTTCATGGACAGCAAATACCTCCTACAAGACATCCCTGGGTTACAGAAGAGCCACAGAGCTTCAGGAGGCTGGATGAGTCCCTGCTCAGATCCAGCAAGTCCTTTTGCAATTTTCGAAGCACTAACATAGAAGCAATGAAAGCTGACTAAGCAGATGGTCATCCATGCCCAGAAACCGCCTGACCAAGGAATTGTAGGAAGCCAAGATATCCACCTCTGAAAGAGAAGAGGAAGTGACCAATGTTTTGCTTCCGGCAGAGACTAATACCTGATCCTTCTGAGGACCAAAGAGGAAATATTAATACCAAAAGCCCTATACACTAGTATCAACAGAGAGAAATAATTTCCTTCCTGACTCCCACTGGGCTAGTCATGCCTGGAACAGAAGGTGTGATTATCTAATCAAGCAAAGCAAGAGCCAAATGGCTAGCCTAGACTGTAGCTTCTAGGGGAGTTCTCAAGCACTGATACTTAGTCTCTCATCTACATCCCTCCACTTCCTGCTGCTTAGAGCAAAAAAAATCTACGTAAAAAGTAATAATAATATGCTATTTCATGTCAATTTCAACCACCACCATTAAGTAAGATTTCAGATCTTATTCCTTTCCAAGACTGAGAGCAAATTAGTGCTCATCTAATCCCGGAGTTGGTGGGGTTTCAGGGTTAGGAAGAAAGACATACATACGCTGAGCATAGATTGTGCACCAGGCATGGTGCTGGGGACTGCACATTAAATCATCTTATTTTTCTGTATATTCAAGATGAGTCTTAACTAAAGAATGAAACAACTATAATAATCTATCATGTATGCACCACACTTTATATTTTGTAAATCAGGTTGGAATCTATCAGCTCATTTGCTCTAAACAAACATGAGAGGTAGGCAGGGCAATGATTATTATTCCTAATTCTTGGATCAGGGAAATGAAAGCAAAAAGAGCTTATTTTTCTAAAGTTGCTCATCTAATAATTGACAGACCTTCTGAAACCCTATCCTGCCATACTTGCTGCTTTTTTTATGAACTCACAAACTTCTTAAGCCATACTGGTCCCAAAAGCCTCTTTCTGTCCAGTCATTTGTTTCATTCTCATAAAACCATGCAGTTCAGCCTCATCTGTGCTAGAATTCCTCAAAAGCTCCAACAGAGAATTGTCCAGGGCCTAATGGAACATCCTCAGGAAATAGTACACTCACTTTGGATTTTTCTTTATATTCATGAAAATGTACTTGCACCTACCACGTGCCAGAGATCTCACTATACTCTAGGGAAACACTCATGAACAAGAGATGCTGTCCCTCTTCTGACAGGTTTTATATTCTAAAGGGCCATAATCACGTGTGCCCTGCATCTCGCCCTCTCCAGGGCTTCATTCCTATAACGGTTCCTGATAGGACACCATTTCCAGTCCTCTCGGTATCCTCATGTGGAAAATCCAGTTGGCTTAAATCCACTTCAAAGGATGAGGCAAAGAATAAAATCTGACACTCTAGGGGAGCTTTGACAGGATGGTTAAAAGATTCACAGTCACCCATATAGCTTTAGTCCTCTCCCCACTTCCTAATGGCATCCAGATATTCTTTAGAGGGACCACCGCTTCTCCACTGAGAGGCTGTCATAAAGTTTAAGCGGGAGTGTTTCAAAATTCAGAGAACCTGATTCACACATATCTATTAGAACAGCGTCCTCCTTGTGGCCTCAGTGACTGGTGCAGGAGTATACAATTACCCACATCTATAGAAATATCGAAAATAGGGCTTTCTTTTCCCAAATGGCAAAGAGGCAGCCTATAGCCCAGGTCCCAGCAAGCAGCCACCTCATGCCATGAGATGAAATATACTGATGTGTTAGATGAAGCCAACACACACAGTAGAGGGCAGAGCAAGGAGACACAGCTGAGGCCTGTTCAAAGTAGGGCTGAAGCCCACCTTACTTCTGGACTTTCTGATTTCCAGAAGTTTTTTTTTTAATGCAGCTTAAGGCTGTATCAGTGTTTTGGAAGACAAAAGCCACTGTTAGCTCACAATTAGCTTCTAAAAAACAAAAATTTCTGCATCTCTTACAGCTCACTCCTGTTAAGGTACTCTCTCCCATTCTCTCATTACACATTAGATTTTTTTAAATTCAAGTACGAAGCTTCATATTCATTACGATTTAATTTCAAACACTGAAAAGAAACTCAGGAGGTAGAGCGGGTAACAGAAATTCATATTTGATGCTTAAAGTATATGCTTGGGGCAAGGCATTCAAGACCATGTTAGAAATTTTAACAAGCTAAAATGTTTAAGAGTCAAAGCAGTGGTTTCCAGCCTTTTACCTTACGCAGATCCGTATGTGCTCAGAAAGTCAGTTGTTCTGTTAAGATACATGGATTAAGAAAAGAAAGGGTGACAAAATGTAACTACAAACTCAGCCACACTTTTAAATGAAATTAGGTTTTATCAATCACAGCAGCACCTGCTCTGTTTCGGAAAACTACCTCATAAACAGGGCAAGGCATATTATTTATTCAGTATAAATGCAGTGCTCGGGGCATGTATGGACTGACCCTTAGGATGGAGACCACAGATCTAGAATTCTAAATAGAAGCCTTTCTCAGAATTCCCCAGCTATTTTCCTCAAGTCTCCCATAACCGCGGGTGGCCCACACCACTAATTATTTTTAGCACACTTCTTTTCTAGAACATGTTGTTCTATTCTAACCTCTAAACAGAGGAATTCCAAAAAACAAGGAAAAGTTTACCTTACCTGGTCACCATCCCCCTATACTAGTGTGCAAACAAGATTCAAATTCAGATCCCAATGAAGCTCTAGGAGGCTCTTTAAGACAAAGGTTCACACCCTTTGCCTAAACAAAGTTAATCTCTTCTACCTCAAAGGGGTGTCATGAAAGTAAAAGGAGATCACAGAAGCACCTGGCCCAGGAGTAAACAAGTGCCACCCAATAATAATACCTTCTTTCCTGTAAATGCCCGAAACACGGTTCATTGACATTTTCATTTTGGTCTTTCAATTTCAAAAAAAAAAAATTCCCTCCATGCCAAAGGAGAAAGAAGCAATATAATTATTGGCATTCGGAAATCATCATTAATCCACATTTTCTTCCAATTTCTCTTCGTGCTACCTTCCAAGAGCTGAATCCTGCCTTTTCTTTGCCACACGTTTTATTAGCATTATTATATTTCATCCACTGCCAATGAAATCAACTCAAAAATAAAAGAAAGAACATTTCGATCCTTCTCTAGTTTTTAGTACACCCTAATTATTAGTGCCCATGCTTTAAATGGAAATCGCTGATTTTTAAAAGTCATTAAAACATTCACATTGATTATAAAAGGGAAAATTCTTTACTGCGTAGGACTCACCAATTGAGGAAAAATATCTTCCCTCCAGTGACTGCCCAATAGAACAATGAAAAAAGCCCTAGATTGAGAACCAGGTGACCGGATTCTGTCTTCGGTTCTGTTTCTGAGCCTGCTATCCCACCTGTAGGAAATGGGAGAAAGAGGTTGCTTATGATCTCTAGGATCTTACCAGCTTCAGAACTTCCCAGGCTTATGAACTCGCTGAGGTATAGAGGTAAGCCACTAGATCTGTGAGTTTCGATCCCGGCATCATTCCCAGGATGGCCTCCAATCAACTCCTGGCACTTTTATTTCACTAATCTGTCTCAGAACGATGGGGAAACAGGATGCCAGTACCCCAGTGTTCATCCTCAGCTCCCCTGGGAAAACGGCTTCATGGTAATATCGGAGATGAAAGAAATAGATAAAGTAGTTAGATATTCACATTGTATTCAAGAAAGAAAAAAAAAAACAGCAAAACCTGAACTACAACAAATAAAGAGACAAGGAGTATGAGTTTGGAGTCAAATTTCTAACTGTAGGACTTAGCAAACTCTCTGAAAAGTAAGAGCCAATGAGCAGCAGCAGAGCTGGAAAATCTCAACACTTCCCAGTAAGTCCTCATTACAGGTTTCATTTCATTAAAAGCTATTACTATTTGGCTAAGAATGATGCAATATACATTTTAACATACACAGATGCCAAAGCAGAGGGTTATTATAAAATGTGTCTTTCATATGCAGGAGAAATCCACATACCAGAAAAACTACTATCCCATTTCAATTGTCATTTTAAGCATTACTGAATCAATCAAACAATTGTTTCATGTATTATTTTCTCATTCAGTCTTCAAATAGCCATGGAAGATCAAAGCTGACCCATCTCAGCTCTTCCTATTGATGGGAGGAGAAGCTGGGGCCAGAGTAGGGAGGTGGCCGCTCTGGGAAGAGCCCACCACAAGTGGCAGACAGTCCAGGGCTCCAGTCCAGGGCTTGTTCTCCTGGACCCAGTTACTTTGACAGAGGAGCACAGCAAAACTTGCTGGGCAGAGGGACTTGCCCTCAGTCACACAATCGGCTTTGGAGCAAAACCAGAACTTTCATACTCAGACCTCCGAACACCTGCTTCAAAGCTTTCACAGAACAGCCCGACAGCAGAAGAAATTAACTTAGAAAAATGGAGCATAATCGAGATGAGCCCAGCAAAGAAATAAGCTTCCAGAGAGCTAGTGGTCTTCAACGGCATTAGAATTCTCAAAGCCATTCCACTGAATTGAGAGAAAGACACAATTTCAAACTGGCTGAGAAATGGAGTATTAGGAGACGAACAATGAACCTGTGGACAGGGATGCCTGACTTCTCTGACTTCTAAACTTGGCTAAAAGACACAGTTCTCCATCGTGGCCCTAAGGCAATCTCTCACACACTTGCCAACTTCCCTCCATGCACAAATAAAGTGGCCTCCCTTTTCCATAGTCAACTTTTCTTTTAATAATTTTTTTTCTTCTTTTCCATAAAGAGAACAAGCAGCTTTGCTAAAGAACCACTGTGAAATGATTGAAGTTCCCATGCAAACAAACCATTAGCAGAGTTCAAATGCAATTTAAATTACCAGTTGTTAAAGTGCTCCTCAATTTTGTGGTAAGTTTCCAAGGAGAATTACATGCTATATACTATTTAATTGGTTGTTTTCTATTTTTTAACATCCATTTATTCCCCCCACCACCCTTATATTTCAGAAGTGTCTATAAAAGCTTTCCTTTAAAAAATTTTACATTGTTGAATAGATTAAATCTAAAGATTGAAAAGTATCAGAGAAACAGCTGCAAGATGACGCAGCTCAGCAGAAATTGATGGTTTTGACACCATAAAACAAGCAGAAGTTTGAAATCTTAGAAGTCACCTCGTAGTGCCGTCACTCTTTACAGGTAAAGACACTGACGCCACACCAGGGAATGGAGGGGCTGACCTAAAGTCCTCTCATTGGTCAGTGAGGGATTCGGGATGAGAACCTTGGCTCCTAACTCCCAGTCCTATGCCTCCTTTTCCCACCACCACACGGTTGGAAAAGATGATGAGAAATACTCAATGAATTTTCTACTCATAATTTAAAAAATAAACATGGAGTCCTCTTCAAATACACTCCTGACCTCGAAAGCGGAGATGGGCAAAGGCAAGTATCTCCTCAAGCGGGAGAAAAAGAAGTAAAGGCTGATGAATGAGAAGGAGCTTAAAATGAGCAGATTCTTGGCGAGGAAGTCAAGACACTCATCTAGATTCATTAATCAAGTTATGACACATCAAGACTGCTGATTTCCACTGCTTGATCCGGCCCAGGATTAGTGGCTGCCCCTGGAGCGAGAGGATAAACGAGCAACAAAGTAAAGGCAGGTGTTGTAACACCTGTAAATTGAAAGGATTTCTGAAGAACATCGTGAGTACAGGATGAAGTTTAAGGCTTTGATACTAGACTTGTGTAAATTATGTACCCTCTCTGAGCTCAAGCTTCCCTGTCTGTAAAATGGGGCTAATATCACTTACCTGTCAGGGGGTGTGTAATCATGCCTTGGCATTCCACATCAAGCATCCACAGCACAGAGCCGGCAAATAGTATGTATTAATTAATGTTCACCCCCTTGACTGCCAAGGTTTCTATCATTTCTCAAAGCCTAGGATTCTGTCGTTCTAATTTATCTGGACTATAACGGAATCTCACAAGCCATGTATGTTCCCTACGTTTGTTAGATGCTGTATGTCCCCTGACTATAAATTCATTTATTTTGTCATTCAAGATATTAAAACAAAACAAAACATGTGCATGAAAATTTAAAGATCCAAGCATTTTCCTTTAAAAGTACACTCTTTGGAACTGCTATTTAAAAATGGCCTTCAAACTAAATTGATGAAGCATGCAGCAGTAAAATTCTCAATTTAACATCCAAATTCTCATCTAAACTTTCCATCAACCAATTGTCCGTTGAGGAAAGTAAGGGTCAAGGAAGTTAGGCAAGATTTTGGGGCTAGGAAATGGTAAAGCCAGGACTTGAACCCCTGTCTTCAAAATCAAGCTCTATGACACAGGTTTTATTACTTTCACCTACAATTATACTATGGACAGCTATTCTGCTAGAAGCAGAAACACACCTTTTAAAAAACTTTTCTATTTTCACATTTCAAGGAGATTTGGGGTTTAAAAAAAAAAAAAAAAAAAGGCCGAACTTTCAAATTAAAAAATATCTATAGAAAAACACTTTTTAGTCTATCTAGACCCTTTCTGAATTCCACCTTGCTGTTATATTCTCAAGTGAAATAAAAACTCAGAGCCCTGGCATTAAGCAGACATCTGCTGGGTATGTGGGAAGCAGGCCTGAGAAGGGTTAGCAATGAGCTGATATCAGGCTAATTCAAAAGCAATTCAAATGGCTGGGCTCATGATCAAACAAATCATGGGCAACCCTAGTATGAGCTTCTGAGCACCCTCCGGCGCATCTGTTAGCTGACAGAACGTCATGTGCCCTGACTTCAGAGGTGCACAAAATAGACATTTACTAGAACTTCCTGTCCTTAGCGAGGCACAGTATATGGACCTAGCAGTTGTAGGTACTAAGTTAGACATGACTTGAGCTCTCAAAGAGTTCACAGGCCTCACTGGGGACATGCCTGAATACACAAAACAGAATGAAAGGTATGCAAAGCACAAGTACATGCAATGTCATTTTGAGGGTCTGGAAGAGCTATTCAGATGACTTCTAAACTGAGCCTGAACACCCAAGAGGATTTCCATGCATGAAGGGGAAGAAATAAGCCCAGGGAACACAATGTGCTAAGGCCTTGAGGAGGATGAGTTCAGGGTGTTCTTGGGGAAAGTGACTAATCTGGTGAGGCCAGTGGCAGAGGACGTGGAAGGATGCGGTGGGACATGAGGCTGGAAAGGAATGTTGCGGCTAGAACATGGAGGACCTTGTGTGCCAGGCGAAAACACTTGGATCTCCAGACTCATGGGTACTGCATTCTGGGAAATGACTCAAGCGAAAGTTAAAATTCCTTCTAAAGAACCGAATCCGCTTCCATAGTCAGCATCCAAGCATAGCAAGGGTGGGAGTGTCTAAAGAAGAGTGTCCTCTGACCCCATCCAAACAGAAGTCAGAAGAGTAGGTGGCTCTCAGAGTTGTCCCAATCCCACACCTCCATGGACCCTTTCCTCTCGTCTAGAACTCTCACTCATGGAAGACCCAGGAAAGAAACTAAGTATCATGTTCCAAGCGATATTTCCACTCTAGCTTCAGGGAAACGCCGACACCACCCAGCTTGGTAGATCAGAAGAACATAGGCTGAACCCAGGCCCGAGCCTCTTTCCTGATACTGAGGAAGCAGGAGCCAAAGGCCTATCCAGCACATACTATGTGTGCCCAAAGCTCCACGTCTCAGAGCTCCCGCCAGGCCTGGCATCGTGTGACTGGAGCTTTCAACTAGTATTGAGCCTGCACTAATGTCACTACTTAAGTTGTATGGAATCCCATGCCTTAATGGAGACTTTGTAGCAGGTCTCAGATGCCAAAGACACAGGCAAGATGTGAATCCCTTCCTGCCCTTAAGGAGTTCCCAGTCTAGAAGGAGAGATAAGACATCAACATAATAGGAGATGGCAAGTGCCTTAGAAGAAGCACAGATGACAATAAAAATGTACATAACAATCCTATGACTTGGTTTGAGTGTTTTTATCCATTTGACAGATGAGGAAACTCGGACTCAATCAAGTTCACACAGCTAGGCAGCATCATAGCCGAGATCCCATACTCATAAGCACCGGAGTTTTTTCTATTGCCTCACAGCCCACTGTGGTGTGGGTTAGCAGAAGAGAGAACAGAGACGTCACTTTAGTGTGCGGGAGTGCGCACAGTGAAGAGTGTGGATGATAGGGAGCAGATGATCAGAGATTACTTCATTCAGAAAGTGTCATCTGTGCACGAGTTTATTAGGAGGAGCAGGAGGTCTATGGATGAAGATGAGAGAGGTTCCCTCAGGCTAAAGGAACAGCACGAAGGTGAGAAAATGCAGGGCATTTGTGGGGAATGGCAGGGAATGTGGCCGACTTAAGGATGAGTAAGCAGGAGCATCGAGGAAGTTCACGGTGAGCACGTAC